GTAGGTTTTTTTTAGATTTTATTTAATGCACATTTACAGCTTAGTACATAACAACTTATGCGCCTAATTTAGTAAAATTTGGCATACTGATACCTTATATTGCCTGTCAAACATCAGGTTACTTTTTATCCCGGAAAAATGAACGGTTCCCGTGGGATAGATCTGTTTGTTCTTTTCATTTTATGTGTTATGTATTTAATGCCTATTGGATTGAAATATTTTAGCATGTTCATTACGACATTAACTTACTTTTCAACTTCATTTGTTTACTTTTTTTTGAACTAATTACATAGTTTATTATCATGGCACAAGTAATTTTACGTGCATTATAAAATATTTTACTTATGCTAATTTTTAACGCTAACTTACGCTTTATGAGCTTATGATGCCGTATATTTTTTATATTTGAAATTACCATATTAAGAAAAGCGTTTTTTTATTAAGTGCTAGTAACTTACCTTCACTCCGCTCGGGTGCACCCAATAAGCTTGAATGGGTTATGAAGGCATAAAAGACAAACGTCTAAATAAAATTCTTTCTTTGCGCCAGGAACCTTTGCAGATGTATATAGAATAACCTACCAGAGTTGCATCTCGATCGGATCAATGGTTTAGGATCGCATAGAGGACAAACATACGAATATTCATTTTGATTTATATAGATAGATTAATGATTAATATATAACACCATCTTTCGTAAAATAACTCCGGTCCAGCTTTAAATGGACCTTTACTAACTGTAATCTATTCCACCTCCCTTAAAAACATATTGATTATATTATGCGGGCGTGTATACTGTACCGACTGATACAGTATTTAGCATTGTATAGTTTAAAACTAGGATGGATGAACTAGGTTTAACTATTTATAATATTCCTACAAAACATTATAACTTTATATAAGAACATGTTTGCTGCCTTTATTATTATTTTTTCTGATAAAATTATCATACCATTTAGTAGTTAGTCAAAAGAAAATCACATTTCTTATGAGCTAGAAGAAATCCTCGTCAGATATTATCTTTGCTTTTGGAAATTTCATATCTATACTTCTATACTAATATTATAAAGAGGTAAAGTTTGTGAGTTTGTGACGTTGTAGGGGGTAATCTCTGGATCTACTGAACCGATTTAGATGAAATTTGGTAATGTGGAAATCATCACATAAGGGGGTGAAAATGAGAATGAAAGTTGCATGGGGGTCAACCTAGGGACGAACCCAACCGAAGCGAGGGTGAGTCGATAGTAAACAATATGGTTATTAAAAGTATCGACAGTAATTACACAACAAATAAATAATATCCTATAATGTAATAAAAACATTTAATGTCATACCATTTTGGTGACATTCATCTGTCTCGCTCATTAGGTAGCATATCATGGTTCTCATTCAGGCCAAATATTTCTATTAGCTACAAGGAATCTCAAAACTATAGTAATTTCTAGTGGCGACAAGTAGATAATAAATTAAAGATTTTATACAAAACATTATAATTATTATACGTTACGTTTATATTACGTATTCTTTGAAGAGAAGGCTTAGTAGTCATTTTTTCTCAATTTCTTCATTTTCTGCCATTGAACGATAGGACATCGAAAGCGGAGTTCTTAAAAGCGGGAACTATCCTGCCTTTTTACTCAAACCGTCTCAAGCCGTCTGTGCGACGCAAAGGAAGGTAATGTGTTTATCAGCCTATGTATGTATGTATGTTTGTTTGTTCCTTTGTGGCACTCTAGAGACCAACCTCGTGGGTCGATTTTGATGATTCGTACGTCGTTAGATTCGTCTTAATAACGTGAGTTTCATAGGCTATTTCAAAATAGTTAAAAATTGAAATGGCCGATTTCAGTCGCCAATTTGTGTCTATAAAAATTCTGCCAAACCAAACGAGTGAGATATCAAAATAATGGTTTTTTAAGCAGCGATTATAAAAATATTACTAAAAAATTGCTAAATATAACTTCAAATGTCCTATTGGCAAAAAAAAACTAAAAAGTTGTAAATAAAAAAACTATATTATAAAAGTAAAAAACCCGACTCTATAAAAGCTAACTAAAAAGATAAAATCAAGTTTACGAAGGAATATAGTATTATGCAGTCGGAGACATACACAGTTATGTACATACATCTCGCGACAAGGACGATTTACTATTTACTATAGAACTATTCGTCTCATACTTTCTGTGACTTTAATTATAAACCATAGTTGATAAATAAATAGATGACTGAAACACATTTCTATTATAATATTTTTTAAAAAGTGAATGTATTATGCAATTAATCAGATTATACCTTGGAGGTCGATTTATATTTACTGTGTGAAAGAACAGTAAGCTAATAATTATTTTTTAGTTCAAAAGTTATACTGATTCCAAAATCAGTTAAAGGAAATTGGTCCCTGAGGATTGGTTTATTTATAAGTTTTTTGTAAGAGGTATATATAAGAAATAAACGTATAAATAACCTATTCTTTAAAAATAATAGTTATGAAAATAGATTCATAATTGACTAAGGTATCACGTAACAGACAAACTAAAATTGCCAAATTAAATATTTCCTTCTATTTGAAATCGATCAAAAAGTCGAGTACCTCTTTGATGATAAATACGGGTTTTCACTCTAAAAATAGAATATATCTATCTATATATATACACTTAATATATCATTACGTCCGCACGTCATCGATACCGATTACACTTGTAATTGCATGTAGGTAATTGGGGGCATTACTACATTAGCTTTTTCGTGACGTTTGTGTGAACGACAATTAGTTACCTCATTACTAATAAGAGTTAACGTAGTAGTACGCTATTACCAAAATTTTTTTCTATAAAAATGAAAAAAAAAACCAAACGAATATGGTGGAGTTCTGCAATCTGCAACCTTGAAAAACAGTAAAATTATTTGCGGTAAATAAATTTCTTAAAGAATGAAGCATAAGAATGAGGCAATAAGTTGATTGTTTTAGAACCTTTTGTAATATGAAATATTGATACACTAGATATTATTAGTAATTGCTATTACAGGAATAGCAATTACCAATTATCTATCTTAATGTGTACCGGAAGTGAAATATGCTCCTTTTATACCGCAAAAATTAAGATTCGGGACATAAAGTAGAAAAGTATGTAAAAAAGGTTTGTTATTAAAAAGTTATTATGGTCTATGCGATAATTGCTGAATTACCTCTTATAAATTTCGATTTGTCGTTCAAGTTAGCTAAGAAATAATTATTTTATTTCCGGAATAAGAAAGCGTCCCCGGTAGGTGACAAAAATAAATGTGTACTAAAATTGTAAACATGCGTCGATTTTGCTTAAAGGTAAGAACAACATAAAAAACGATATGATCATTATAGTGATACGTGTACGTATTTAAAAACCATCTAGGTACATATATGTGATTACCTATATTTTATTTAAAACTAAATATTTTCTGTAGAAGCTGAGTATGAAGCTACTATGAATCCATCGCTTATATAATATTAGATTCGATCAAATTAAATCAGATTATATAAAATAAGAATCATAATAATACAAAAAATAACAGAAATACTTATACAATTTCAATTGCTTTTGTGTACATAAATGAGGGTGATATGCAATAACCTGTAATGAATTTAATGTAAATAACTCACTCGCAGTCACTCGTTGCGGGTTGCAGCGTAGACCGTAGTGTCATATTGCAGACCGCGGTTGCACTCGCGGTTCGCATTAAAAAGTATTTGACATGCTGTGTCGGGTCAGTGCTGTGGATTATTTACCGACTTCGAAAGGGAAGAGATATTTTATATATAACAATTTTTTCATTTTTTTTCGCAAATTTATTTTGAGTTTGAGTTATGGTCACGGAAGAGTAAAGAGGGATAACAATAGAAAAAACGAGGGTCGCGCAAAGAAGAAAAGAGAAGATACTCAATTTGTTTGTATGTTTTTATATGGGTCATATCTTCGCTAATTAAGGTTATACATATTATATATTAGGTCTATGTACCTTTGTCCTTTTTAATCTATACATATAATAAAATAATTGTAACTAAGCCGAATCTGTACATTAAATATTTTTTAGAAAATCTTATTGAAATAGACATTATTATCGATACAGAGTCCGAATCTATAGTTTTTAGAATTTTTGTCTGTTTGTCTGTCTGTCTGTTACCGCATCACGAGAAAGCCACTGGACAGATTTTGATGAAATTTGGTATTGTTATCCGGATCAACTTATAGGATACTTTTTACCGCGGGAAAATATGTTATTTCTGAGAAAAAATACAAAAACAGCAATGTAAGAGTATACTAATATGTCAAACCTAAGAATTTGGTTTTTGGTCATCTGAACGCGGGCGAAGCCACGGGCAATACTAGTAAAAAATAATTATTTTATGTTGAATTGTTCATATACAGGATGATTTTTTCAAATGGATATCGTAACCAATACTAGGAATTATTGAAAAAAAACTCAAAAATTATATCCTTGAAGTGCTTGGCTTCGTCTTACATACCTACCTGAAATATTTGTTTACAAAAATTTGCCTCACGCAAGAATCGTATGATCTATAACATCTAAAAAAGCTCTTATTAAAATATTACGTCTTTTAGGCTAATTTACGGCCTCTTTCATGAAAATCTTAAATTTTAAATGTTTACTAAATATTTGTCATTTCAATCATTTAATGTATGTATTATGAATTTCGGTGCTATTTGGCAAAACATTGCAAGCATACCTATGGTAAAAAAAACTTATTAATTAAGACCTAAAACACATAATACTTAAATATACCTTAACGATTATACATATGTTATTTTCATTATAATATACTATTGTATATGTAATATGTTATATTATAAGAATTTATTTTGTGATTTAATAGCAAGGATACATTGTTTAACGCAAAGATAGTCTAGTGAAGTTCGAGCTGATAATAACGACTCACAGGCAAATACTTTTACAAACGCAGTTACATTTTAAATACTTCGACATCAACTTGACACATGCCTTTTATACACACGTGGTCAACAAAACAAAGGCCTTCGCATAAGATGCACGCGCCGCGCCGTGCACGATATGTAAAGCGAAACATTCCACGGGTCGACTGAATAGTGTTGCCAGATGGTATTTGCAAAAATCGAGATTATTGATCGTAAAAACGATAAAAAATGTTTTAGTTTTTTTATTTTCTCACAGAGTGGAAGGAATTTTTTTTTAATTACTTAGATTTAATTATTATGTTTTTCTTTTATATTTTAAGTGACCGTAATCCAACCCAGAAAATCAAATACGAATGTGTAATAAATACATCATGATATGTTTTAAGTACGCTACATAAACAAAAATAAAAAATAGACATAAACTTACCGATAACTTAAAAAGATAAAACTTTGATTATTTGTAAATAGTAATGATTGAACAGGAAGATTTCCCAGAAAGTTATTAAATGACACCTTATTTTTAGCTAAAAATGAACTTAGTAAAATGACGAAAATAAATAGAGTAAATGACTCAAGGATGATTGGTGGAACATTCAACATTAATTAGCCGATAATCAAAAAAGATAAAATTTTAATTATTAGTAAATAGTTACGATTCACCAGGAAGGTCCCGCAGGAAGTCATCAAGTGACACCTGAAAAACGAGACCTCCAGCAAAATCCGATACATCTGGCCACACTAGGCGGAGGCAGCTCGACCTCGGGGACCCATTCCGTACGCTGCGCACGCGCACTGGCATCCGCATAACCTTAGGCGACATCGCTTGCACTCTGCCATGACTGACAGTACATATGCGTGTGTTCGATGCTTTTTCATTGGCTTCGAAAAACAAAACCAAACGGATGTCATCTCGACCCCTTTATTTATTTAAGTCTAGCTACGTTTTATAAAACCGATATATATATCGGTAAAAATAATTTTAAGCAATACTTAAAAGCTTTTTACCATCATAAAAAAATGTACAGTTATAGATTCTTTTTTGTTATTCACGCAAGAAAAGTTGAAATTATAATATTGTATATCGGTACAAACAATCACTAATTTCAATATGAGTAGATAAATAAAAAATAGTAAAAAGTCCTTTGAATCAGAAATGTTCAGTAAAAAGCGATGAACCTGTCGATTGGTTTAAATAAAAATAAAAACATTATGTAATTTGAGATCACGAATGCTTTTTTTGCTGATCGTTCCACTCGGCGGGGCAGGGTCGCGACCGACGACCACGCCGACCACGGCGACCGCACTACGTGACAAACTGCTGGGAACATGACGGTTTCCTAGTTCAACTCTAATGGGGATCGTGGATAATGAGGATACATGCTAACTAGCCTTTGAGATGCTAATTTTCTTGGTGTAAGCAGTTTTATACTTCACACGGTATTCTCTTCCCATATATTTCCAGTATTTTTTTTTATTTTAAGGTAAAAAATGTAATCAACAAAATGACAAAAATATTCAGAGCAACGACTAAACGATGATTGATTCATGTTGTTAGAATTCTTGCTACTAAAAGGTGGTCCAGCGAAATTATATAATAAAATAATATTTGCCATCAAAATAATACCATCTGACAGGGGATGAGGAGTGTATCTGTGGTCCGAAGTTTAATATTTTGTGATTTTTGACAGCTACAACACATTATTTATATATTTATCAAGTCAAATGCAAAGCGGTGGAGTCACGCCGTGCATAAAATTGACAGTGATCGCGATCTCGCATTTCCATTGAGATGTGTCCGTTAAGTACAAAGCTGACAGCTGTGTATTTGTAATGCTTTATTGCTATGCCGTTTAATGGCGAAATCATTCGGAGGCCCTAAACTAAGCCCCAATACGTTTCCGCGTGATATCTAAATATGAAAAGTTGTATCAACTAATTCAATGAATAACAGTGGCAAATAGTTGTAAGAAAAATGAATATAAATGAAAAAAAAAATTATCTTTAGGAGATGGAGAATAATTGAAAACTCTATTAGTTTCACAACAAATCGAAGGAGAGGTCACGGTACTATTTAAGTTATAGAAATATGTAACTACATAGTTCAATCACATTTTTTCATCACGACAGGTGCGGGTCACGTTGAAGCGTCACGTAATGCACCATCATTAAACTACAAGTGAATTTTAAAGATTTCTAAGTTCTTTTAGATCTTTTTCCTGTGAAATTGATTTGTTAATGAATAATTTAAATGTACATATAGGTATAGTTTATTACATAGTTTGGATAAAATTTTGCAATAAGAATAGCCTACGAAAAGAAGTCTTGTTTAGCATCATTTGCCAATGATGCGGTCCACATGTTAGTCCCTTATTAAATCTCATTTTTCATTAACATTTGATAATGAATACAATAAGTTTGAATTATCAAACCTATAATATTACAATACACGTTGTTCTTAAGTTCTGTTATACTTTACACTTTTTTACTCTAAAATTGGTTGACACTTGACGTCAGCAGGTGCAGTGCACGTACAGCCATCACGACCAGCTCCAAGTGGTATTCCATTCAATGTTCTTTTGTCCCGTGAAGCAATTAGTCTCGGTTACAGGTGGACGGTGAATGTCTTGAGTCACGAACGTTGAGGGTTTTAGGGTTCCGTGGAATATGAGCTTAGATTCTATGGTCTCTGTATTTGAATTTTTATTATTGTACTGCTTTGAGCCTCCGCTTAGTTGGGTTCCTTCCAAAAATTCAATGTAACAAGTAGTATAATATGCTAGATTATTATATCTTACTGTCTTTAAAGCTTCTAGTTTTTAGGAAGTTCAGTTTTTACATCTAAAATCACATCATCTAAGGAATTTCTTAAAATATTAAATGACAATTTTAAAAGCTGCTCTGCATTCAAATGTACGAAATACCGTTTCGCCGTTGAAAATTTTATACCGGCCTGCATATTAATTTTAAAGTAAAGTACTGATTAAAATGTTATAAAAATTCTTAAATAAATACACAATATATTATTTTCATTATAACCTTTATTTGGAGCGATAATAGCGGTAGCGGTTTAAAAACATAATAATTAGCTCAAAAATATCGGTGAAAAAAATGCTTCCTGCAAATACTGGTTCTGTCATACGATACCTTTACCGAGTTTAAGATGAAGCCTTTTTACAGTCACTCTTGACCGTCATGCTTTATACTTTTTACACAACAGTGCTCGAATTTCGTGTGCTCTTTGAACTGGTTTAATGGAAACTGTGTAAAAAATCCGTCAGACATACCTACAGATCGCGTGTTCCGGATCAGTGCTTTATGCTCTATTTTATTTTATTGCTTAAATTCTTCGAGTTATTTAAAGACGTTAACACGGCGGCGGTATTGGAGTTATTTTAACTAAAATAAAATTGCTTAAAATTATTTGAACCGCGACTAATAATACAAATGTCCTTCGATTTATAGTTGCCGCTTGTATTCATTCTAGTCTAGTTATTTCTAGATACTAGACTTTTATAAAGGCGAAAGTTAGTGTTTGTGTGTATGTATATTTTGTACTCCGCTGAAATAGCAGGATAGATTTGGATGATATTTAGTATATACCTACAATATAACCTGCAGTAACACATAGGGTAATGTTAGTATTAAGAATTGCTAAAATGTAAACTTGATTGTTTGCCAAAAGGTGAATACATATTACGTACACATATTATAGGTATTATCTAATATATAAATATGTATAGTGTTTAGTGTTTGTGGTCGCACTCCTCTGATTTAAATGTTTTTTTTGTGTATTAGGTAGATATGAGAATAGGTCGTAAAGTATTTTTCACCTTCCTACCCCCACCCCCTATTATTTAAGTATCTAGGGGCGAACCGGAGTGGAGCAAGGGCGATTGGCTAGTAATATATAAAGAAGAGTCTGTTATGTATGAAGTTGCAAAAGATACCCAGGGATGCACCGGAGTAAAGCGAGGGTAACTCATTGATGTTTAATGTAATACAGAGAAAATTATTTTAATATTTTTCTGCCATCCAGTTTAAAAATGGTCAACCTAGTTGAATTCTGCGTACTTTATTACTAATTAGCAATATGAAATCGATGACCTAAGGTCATGAAAAACTGGAGCGAAAGTAAAAATGAGTGGCGGAACTGAGATTGAGCGAAGGTTGTAAACATCCAAAAATGAATGCAAGCACCACATTACGTTTTGTGGAGCAAAGTTGCGTCAGTTCATGCCAACGTACAAGGCCCCATAATAATTATTAAATACATAATTTAATACATGATCCAATTAATTTAAACTGGAGCACTCCATAATTTTTACAAAATCATGATCAAGTTTGTCGATTTCGAAGTTTCAGATTTTTAATGTCCAAAGTAATGTGAGCTCGGTCGCATTTTAAGACATGTCCAAACTGTACATTATATTGGTGTTTAATATACATAGTTTGTTATATATAAATAAATATTTACTCTTTTAATTTTTTAAATGGATATATTTTATTTTTTTATATATTTTAATGATATTATTTAAAAAAATCCAGGGTTTATCTAAGGTATATTTGATTATTAAACATTCAAATTTTTGCGTGTATATGGTATATTAAATAATTTTGTAAATATTTCAATTATTTTTGTCCTTTCTTTTCAATTATTCCCGCCTCTTGTCTCTTAGAATATAATTTTAAAAAATACTACACATTTTACTCAAGGCAAATATTCGTCTTATAAATTAGATGAAAACTAAATGGATTTTATGAACCAGATAGCTATTATTATAATAACTATTAAAATTTAAAGTTAATAAATGTCCAAATGGACGTGCTATTTTTTGCCAAGCTTAATTTATGTTATACGTTTCATTGTGAAAGAAAAGATACATCGGTTATAGTATAAAAGTAATAAATTCGTCAAATAAATTGCCAATTTACATTCTGATACCAAAGGCTGCTCTGAATGGTAAATAGCTACAAATATTTAAAAAAAAGTCAATACATTAACTAAAAATCAACTTTCACTATTTTTTCAAGTTTTTTTTAGTAAAAGTTTTTATTTCGAAGTAATTTATTCCAAAAGCATTAGAGCATCAACTGTAATTTTAGACATTTTATTTTACCCATATTTATAGAACTCTCAATTCCTGTAATAGTGGGCAATAGAAAGTATTTAAAATGCGCAATTTCACGGGGGCCTACCCACCGCCCAATTCTATTGTAAACTAGCAATGACGGGTAATTATACGCATGCTCTATGCCATGACATATCTGCGTTTGTCTTCAACTACATAAGTTACGAAACTAAAGTATGTACTAGAAGCGTCTTTTGTTCCCGATTACAGAATTAAGTAGCTGTTCACGAGGTCATATGTATATTAGTATGTGGAGTTATTTAACGTTACACGAATAACTGCGTAGTGCGTATATATATATATGTACTTATATTCATCATATATGCTTATTTTTGTGTGATGTACTTTTTAAAATGTCATAGAAGTACGCCTAAACAATTAAGGTTAATATGACAGTATTATCACTTTTTTTTTAAATTCAATGTAAATTCATATAGTATAACATATTAAGGTCATATTTTAAATATAGACACTTTTAAAATATTACCTTTTTGAACTGCTATTATTACAAATGCAATGATTTGTGGAGTCGCCAACTTTAGATGGGCATCGAGGGTCAGTGCATGACACAGTATCGGTCATTCACTCCTCAGGTCACATCGGGGTCGAGCGTGTCAGACCCAACTGATCAGAATGCTTAAGTAATCATTTGCTTGCATTGCACTAAAATGCGTGTTTTCAGGTCGCTGAA